TTTTTTTATTAAACATACATATAAAATATTATGTTTGCGCATATTATAATTTTATATCACATTCAATATTTGGGTTACAAAAGTAATTATATTTTTTCATCAATTTTAAAAATTGTCATTTGTTCATTAATTATTCTTTATCATGATATCATTTGATAAATAATTTTGTTAAAACATCTCATTTTAAATATATATATATATATATATATATTTAAAAATCTTCCTACCATCATTGTTTAAGAGAGAAAAAAAATTATCAATAAAATAAAATATAATAAAATAATAAAAAAGGTCCAATAGGTGAAAAGGCATTAATACATGATAGGCTAAGAAAAGATCAAAGTTGGGTCAAACATTGCAAAATTTATAATATGGATTTTAATATACAAAATATTTATTATGTTTTATATTATAGTAAAAAGAATTAGTGAGAACAAATTTTATTATCAAAAAATAACTAAAAAAATCTACAATTAGTTGACAATTACAAGTTGATAAAAATTCAAAATTTTATATTTACAACTAAATATAAGAAAAATATATTAAAATAAATGAACAATCAAACATAAAATTTAAATATTCATATTTATCTGAATTTTTTAAGGTTATTGACATATAAATATAATAAGGTAGTTTTTATTTATTTATTAAATAAACATATAATATGTTTTCTCTTGGGTTCTTTTTTTTTTTTTCTTTCTTACTTTTAGATTTTTTTTAAAGTTTTTTAACATAAATCTTACATATCCATCTATAGACTAAATCCATATATCCATCCATCCTTACATTAAAGGTTACAAGATTTTAAAATTAACGAGATGTCCTTGTGGCACCTTTATTAGCTCATTTATTTATTTATTTATTTAGATAAACTTTGTAAGAAAATAATATCAATTAAGGTGTGCACATAGTACTTTCATTTGTTTCTTTTCTTTTGTTATTTTAATTAGATAAATTTTATAACAAAATAAACCAATTGATATGGATGGCAAAACAATTAACATCCAATGGATTTTAATCTGTCCAATTTGATATGAGCATTTTTGCAAAAAATGATGGTGAGTTGAGTTGAGTTGATCTTTTAGAAAAGCATGGATGGGCTTGAAGCAAATTTAGGATGCTTTGCCCAAACCACCCCATAGTATAAATAAAAATATATAATCTTATTATCTATTTGATTTTATATAATATATATGTATTATATTAATGTTATTATTTGATACCTTAATATAAGATATTAACATTTTAAACTCAATTTGGATGTTGACACCCAAATGATCTCTATTTTTTTGTTATTTTTGGTTTTTAATATTTTTATTAAGAAAGTTAATATGTGATCTATTGATTTAAGATATTAACATTTTAAGCTTAATTGAGATGTCTAATAGTACCCTAATAAGTTCATTTTTTTTCTCTTTTTCTTTTTTTAATACTTTTTTAATTAAATTAATTTTGTTAAAAAAAAAAGGCTAATGGAGTATCTACGTAGCACCTTTATTTGATTTTTTTTTCTTTCTTTTTTTTGTATTTTTTTAATAAGATCAAATTTTCGACAAAAGGTACTAATTGATAAAGATAACCAAAACAACATGTATTTGAGAGATTTGTATCCATCTTGATTCAATAGTGGATAATTTTTTATATTTATATTATATAGATTTATAACTTAACATTAAGAGCATTATTGTTTACAATTATTTTTATTTAACTTTTTATATTTTTCTACATACTTCAATAATTGTTATTCTTATTAAAAATATAAAAAATATATATTTAATTTCTCTCATTCATTAAATTTATAATAAATATTATTATATACGAATAACCATAAAAATTGAACCCACGGGCAAAGCATGAGCCACTTTCTAGTTAATATTATGGATGGATGAATGGATAGTTTATATAGTATTATTACACTCCATATATATGGGTTGTTAAACATTCAACTCAAAACCAATTAGCAATAAATGAAAATATTCAACTTTAATATAAGATTACAAGAAATTGAATATTTATTAAACATGGAATAATCCACTTTAACACCCCCATCACGTGTAGGCAGAAATGGAAGAAGCCTGTTGCGTGAAATTTAGAAATGGTAACAAAAATAAATTTTGGCTCTGATACCATGTTAAGCATCTAATTTAAAACCAATTGACAATAAGTGAAAGGGCCCAATTTGAATATAAAACTACAAGAAATTAAATATTTATTAGTTGTCAGATAATCCACTTTAACAAAAAAAATTAAAAAAATAAAATAAGCAAAAAAAAATCAACTTATTACCAATTGATCTTGAGTTAGAAGCTTAATATGGTATCAAAGTCAGGATTTTCTTTTGTTGTCTTTTTCAAATCTAGCATGTAATAAGCTTCTACCATCTCTCCCTCCACGTGATAGGGGCCTGTTAAAGTGAATTATCCCACATCTAATAAATATTTAATTTCTTGTAATCTTATATTCAAGTTGAATCCCTCCACTTATTATCAATTAGTTTTAAATTACATGCTCAATATTAGTATTTGATTAATAACCGGTTTAAATGCATTTGTAATATTTATAATTTGTATGATAAGAAAAAGTAATATTTTCTTTTTTTTTTTTTAAGTTTTAATAGAGCTTTTGAAAACAAAATTTTACGTCAAAACAAATGTATTACATAAGTACGAGCATATATATATATATGTATATATACAGGCATTTTCCTTAAAAATATAACTCTTTACATATCATACGTTTGTATTGCATACATTTGCATCCAAAACAGAAGCCGCTTTAATTTTAAAACCAAGAAAAACAGTTTGCGATTAAACATATAAGAGCTATGAGCATCACTACGCAACTGTATATATAGTTCATTTTGTTAATGGAGAGGCAAATCTGCAATCTCAGTATCTTAGAATTTATGATTTTAAGGTTGGTGAGGTTGAGTAAACATGTACAGTATCCAAGCCAATTTGTTTATGGTGCTAGCTTTCAAAGTAAGTAGTCAGTTTTCTTCCGTATCTCATGCACCAAAAAAATAAAAATAAAAATAAAAAATTAACATACATTATTCATTTGCAGCAGTAATTAACTTTTCTCTAAACTTTCACTTAGATTTTGTTTGTTTTCTCTTCTGTCTTTTTTTTTTTTTTTTTATTTCTAATCTCTTAAATTCAGAGGTGGGCCTAAGAGAAGAGAGACATGGGGGTGAGGTAGTCCTTTGAAGGTCTCAGTGAAGCCTGACATTTTCTTTTTAGTTCCCATCTTCTTAGTTTTTTCTCCCTCTTAAAGCCTTGACTTGATGTACTTACCACCTTTGATGTAATGCCTCCGTCTTTGGTCATCAAACAACAATTTAGTTGCTAACTCTACACACAAAGGTTGGGTTGTGCAGAGCAGGGATGGAGTTGACTTGGAAAATAAAATTGAACATGATTGTTTTATCTGTATATATATTTTAAAATCTTCCTGTTAATTACGATCTTTTCTATTACGTCAAGTTGACTTACCAAAAATATATTAAATTTTGATTATTGAACACTTGTACCATCTATGCAAATTGATCAAGAAAATTAGTATTAGATGGATAAACAAATGGATTTCAGTTCGATTTCTGAAATTATTCCGTACGAGTTCAAGGCTTGAAGCCAATTAGAATGCCATACCTTTCAGTTAAACAATTTAATTAAGCTATTCCTTATGGGATCTTTTTATATTGAGGATCGACTAAGTGAGACCCAGTTTTTGACGTACGCCAAAATTACGTAATGAGTTTATCATTGAACTCCAGAATTAAAAATATCAAGTTTAAACCTCAATTGTAATCCAACAGATTAAGAAAAAAAATGTTTTGACGTAAAGAGTTAAGTCAAATTGGTTGGAAAAATTGGGATGTCAAGCAGCTTTCTGTAAATTGCTACAACCACTACCATTACCTACTGCTTTATTTTTCACATAAGGTTGCTAAACTATCTTCTATATTTTCGAATGTTTAGTATTGTTGTTTTAGTTTACTTAGCTATATTAAACAATTAGATTTCTTTTGCCTTGTCTTTTTCTTTTATTTTCTTTTCTTTGCATAACAGGGTTTGAAATTTTCCAGTTGCCTCTTCTGATTTTGCAGATTTTTTAATTTTAAATGTTCACATGGATGGAAAGAAATATATTTAAACATATATAGGAGAGGAATTTTCGTGAGAGGTAGTATATGCATATATTATTAATATGGCATGCAATGAGGTGTAAATTTATCACTATACTTAGTTCAAATTTATCATTAATATTTTAAATGGTACAAATTTATGAATCATATTTTTAATTTTGGAGCAAATTTAAAATCATACTTCAAATTTTGGGACAATTAAAGAATATTTAGTAAAAGAATTTGTTTGAAACTGTTTTACAGTTCAAAAAATAATTTTAAAAATAATATGATAGGGAAAAATATTCATGAAGCTAAAATCCGATTTTATATTCATTTTCTTCTTGGTTTTTTTATTAAATATAATGCAACATAATCAAGAATTTTTTATTTTATTTTTTTATTTTATCATGACATTTTCTAATGCATATAATTTCTCATCATATTTTTTCAATTAATTTGGCTCTCTTTCCTATAATTTTTTTTTAAAAAAATTAATTGCAAAATAGTTTCTAATCTGAATATTCTTTAATTGCTCTAAAATTTGAAGTATAATGCTAAATTTACTCCAAAATTAAAAATATAATGATAAAATTACAATTAGTATAAATTTAAACCATTCATGTAAATAAAATGATAAATTTAAACCCCATTTAAAGAATCTAAAAATTTTACACAATAGTGTTGGACAAGGACCAATGTGAATAGAAACAGGTGAAGGCATGGGTTGTTGGGTTTCCAATCTTCTGCCTATTCTATAACTGAGACTATCATCAGCCTGAAAACCCAACTCTTTCTAATTAATGCCAATTGTTGGTATTTTTTTCAGAAGATTCTATTTCTCTAATCCAAAATATGTACAACTTTCCTCTCTTTTTTTTATTAAACAATAATTTCAAGCAAAAATATTATGGCTAGCATATGTTTTATCAAATTCCACGATCTAATAAAAATAGGGCAATATATTTCTATTGGTCTGGAAAAGTCAAAACCCTCCACCCTACGGCAACTGCCGGTTCCACCACGATTGTTCAGACTTGAGCCAATGACTGTGACTTGAGACTCCCCCACAACCCAAATCACAATCCTAGTTGCCCAAAATATTAGTCCTTGACTTTGAAACCTTCAAGTCTTACATTTGGGACTAATTGTTTCAATTCATATAATTTTCTATGTTATCTATTAACTTACTACAAGAAAATCTTTTACCTCTCAAAATCCTATGGCAGGATCATATTCTTTGGCTTTCCTTCTCTTCTGCTTTGTCTTCTCCCCAGTTTTTGCTCAACCTCAGCCCACAAGTTTCATCTTGAATGGTTTTAATAGAAGTGAATCAAAGCTTACCCTTGAAGGAGGTTCAATTATTAGGCCCAGTGGCGCTCTAAAACTCACGAACAAATCACATGATACTATAGGCCATGCTTTCTATTCAGAACCAATACAAATGCTGGACAAGAAGTCTTCACCTTCTCCGAATGCTTCTTCTTTCAGCACAACTTTTGTATTTGCTATTGTACCTCCAAGCTCAGGGCGAGGAGGCCATGGCCTTGCTTTCACGTTATCCCCATCCAAGCAGTTCCCTGGAGCTGCAGCAGGGCATTACATGGGAATATTCAACTCAAATACCGATGCTTTACCCTCCAACCATATTTTTGCAGTGGAATTCGATACTGTAAATGGATTCAACGACGATTCAGACAGTGAAGGAAATCACGTTGGGGTTAACATCAATAGCATGTATTCAAAAGCGATGGAACCGGCCTCTTATTATCTCAATAACACAGAGCGAAACGAGGAAATCAAATTGGAGAGCGGTGATCCCATCCATGCCTGGATTGAATACGACGGAAGTTTTGTGAATGTTACAATCTCTCCCTTGAATCGAGATAAACCCTCTAAACCTCTCATTTCCTATCCCATTGGCTTAACACCTTTTGTTGAGGAAACCATGTACGTTGGCTTCTCAGCATCCACGGGGAAAATGCCAAGCTCACATTTCATCTTAGGATGGAGTTTTTCTACTAACGGAGAGGCTTCCCAACTCAATATTTCCCAACTTCCTGTGCCACCGCCAAATGAAAAGAACGGATCTTCTTTTGATCCTCTAATCATTGGTCTTATTGTTGCTTTATCCACCGTGACAGTTCTATTGTTGGGAATATTGATCTATTTTACGTTGTACAAAAGGAATGGCAAATCTGAGGATCTTGAAGATTGGGAATTAGAATGTCCTCACAGGTTCCGGTACAAAGATCTTTATGCAGCAACTAGGGGTTTCAAACAGAGTGAGATTATTGGAGTTGGAGGATTTGGTGCGGTCTACAAAGGTGTGTTGCCAACAACTGGAACTGAAGTTGCTGTTAAAAAGATAAATCGGAATTCAATCCAAGGTCCGAGAGAATTTGCAGCGGAGATCGAAAGCCTAGGAAGATTAAGGCACAAGAATTTGGTTAATCTCCAAGGTTGGTGTAAGCAAAAGAATGATCTTCTTCTAATCTATGATTACATTCCGAATGGAAGCCTTCATTCTCTTCTCTTCAATCAGAAACAAGGCTTTGTGTTAAGCTGGGAACAAAGGTTCAATATCATTAAAGGAATTGCTGCTGGACTACTGTATCTTCATGAAGAGTGGGAGCTGGTTGTAATCCACAGAGACGTGAAGTCTAGCAATGTCCTAATAGATGCTGAAATGAATGCGCGATTGGGGGACTTTGGTCTTGCAAGATTGTATGATCATGGTACAGATTCACACACGACAAATATTGTGGGCACAGTTGGATATATTGCACCTGAATTTGCTCGCAATGGTAAGGCCTCTACTAGCTCAGACGTTTTTGCATATGGAGTTTTGCTCCTTGAAGTAGTTTCTGGTAAAAAGCCAGTTGATTCAAGAAATTTCTTCTTGGTAGATTGGGTTATAGAGTGCCACCAAATGGGTCAAATACTTGATACAACGGACCCTAAGTTGAACTCGAGTTATGTGATAGAAGAGGTGAAGTTGGTTCTGCTATTGGGTCTTCTGTGTTCTCATCCGAAGCCCGAAGTTAGGCCTAGCATGAGAAAAGTCGTGCGGTACCTCAACGGGGATGATCAGCTTCCTTCAATTGATAACTGGGACTCCTTTGGTGCTCGAGATGGAACGTACTCAAAGTTCTTGGAAATAATTTCTTTTGATAGCATCACAAAATCTTATCGATCATCTTCCACGGGTGGCATCACTTCCAATTCCATCTGCACTGGCAGATAGATTCAAGATTCAGATCCTTTTTTTTTCTCACTGTGCCCCTGCTCTTTCCTTTTTTTTTTAAATTCTCTTGTTGTCCTTAGATTAGATTATAATGAACGATTAGATTATATCCTACCACCTTTTCCCCTTTCCAACTTTGTCCAGTCACTTACATGTTTATTTTTGGTTATTTTATTTCTAATTTAAAATTTTTTAAATTAATTTATTATAATTACTTATCGTATTTTTATATAATTATTTAATAAATTAATTAATAGTTAAAATAATAAATATAAATTAAAAAATTAATTTTATAATCAAATAGACTATTAGTGAATAAAAAAATAGATAACTATATAAATAATAATATAAATAAGTATTAATTTTTCTTTTTTAAAATGTATAAATATATTAATTTTTTAAAATTATTATTTTGAAATAAAAATAATCATATATTATAAATTTTATTATATATCAATTTAATTTAACATTTTTAATAATTATTTTTTATTTTTATTATATTTGATCTCACAATCATCATTACGATTTCATCTAAATATATATTTTATTATTAATTTTAATCTTATTATTACAATATTAAATCTTATAATTATAATAATTAATTTTATTATTATAATAATTAATTTTTTAATATCGTTATTTTTAATCTCATTAGAATCAATTTTGAATCTTTAATTTGGGAAAGATAGAAACTTGAATTGTAATCTTCCACCCGGGCCTGTTTAGGATTTTCATATTAAAATTAGTCGATCTGTCATTCCCAAATCTTGATTCGTTATTCTCAACTAAATGTGATTTTAATTGTTTTTACAAAATATAATAAATGATGATATATATTCCTCTGCTTTGTGGGGTTTTAAATCAACTACTCAAGTTTCTCCATCCTAATCTATTCCATCTTTAAATATCAATTAAGAAGAAAGAGTTTAGGTCTAGTAGATTCTGCTCTGCAGTTTTTAATGCTATTGAGACTATGCACTTGGAAAGAAATACGAGTATTAGACGGTAAAACGGCTGTCCAATTCAGGAATAAATGAACGCTGATTTTTTCTTGTGATATGTCAAAGTTTGTGGACCAAGTGTAGGCTATATAATGAAGAAAGAAAAGAAAAGTCAACAAACACAACATCAGGTTTCAACTCGAAGGCCGAAGCCTTCAAACGAGATTAAATTGCCAAGTTAATATGAAAAATTAAGAGATAAGTACAAAACAATCATTTTCAGAGAATTGGGCCTATCATTTTCGATATTAACTGTCGTTTTTCGCTCGTTTTCTCTCGTTAGACGGAGGGAAAACCTCTCAGCGGACCTTGATTGCAGCTTTTGGGTTAAACAGGCTACGTGCTTTCAACCCAAATCAATTATGACTTTCTGTCAGAAAACACTGCCGACTGGTAAAGATCTTTCGTCTTCAAAGACAGCTGATTGGAGTGACTATCTAGAATTTGATCTTACAAATTGCGTGATAAAAAAAGTGAAAGCAGCCTAGAAGGACTGAAAAAAAAAATCCAAGGTATCTATGCCACGGTAATTTTCAACTCACTTTCTTCCCTTTTCATGGACGTGCTTTAACTAGCAAGACCCAGCTGTCTCACCAGTTATCAACCCATTTTAGCCTCTCCCGTACAGCATTTTCTTTTGACTTTGTGAACTCTTTTAAGTCTCTCGTATATCTTCCTCTATATGTCCTTGTTTGCATCCTCGTCTCTTCTTAAGCTAATAATCTCGCAATTTCTTGTAATTCCATGGCCTCAACAGGATCTTTAACTGTACTTTTCTGCTTCTTTCCTCTACTTGCTCTCGCTCAATCTGTTGAATTCATCTTCCATGGATTCAATGCAAGTGAAACAAATCTTACCAGAGAGGGAGCTTCTATTATCAAACCCACTGTTGCTCTTAGGCTCACCAACAAATCGCATCATGTTTTAGGTCATGCATTATATTCTGAACCAATTAAAATGTTTGATATAAAATTTTCTTCCTCTCACAACGCTTCTTGTTTTAGCACATCTTTTGTCTCAGAGCAAGAGGCTACGGTTTGGCCTTCACATTATCTCCATCTCCAAGTTTCACTGGAGCTGGAACAGAACATTACCTGGGAATTTTCAACTCCTCAAATGATGGCAATGAGACCAATTATATCTTTGCAGTTGAATTTGATACTGTTAACGGGCACAAAGAGAAGGATGACAGAGAGGGAAACCATGTTGGAATCAACATCAATAGCGTTTCCTCAATATATTTAGAGCCGGCCTCTTATTTTGTCAATGAACAAAAGAAGAGCTTGCTTTGGAAGGTGACAAGCCTACCCATGCTTGGATAGATTATGATGGATTGCAGAAAATTATTAATGTAACGATATGCCCTCTAGAAGAAGAAAAACCAACCGTATCCCTTATATCTAAACACATCGACTTGACACCAATGGTCAAGGAAACAATGTATGTTTGCTTCTCCGCATCTACAGGAAGAAAATCAAGCTCTCATTACATTTTAGGATGGAGTTTTTCCACTAATGGTGAACCGCCTGCACTAAATATTTCTCAACTTCCCACAGCACCAGGAGAGGAAAGCTCTTCTAACTCTTTTAAACCCGGAATCGTCGTGCTTATTGCTGCTTTATCTGTTGTGACCTTGCTTCTGTTGGTATCGTTAATCATTTTAGCATTTCGTAGAAGGATGATGCAATACGAAAATCTTGAAGAGTGGGAACTGGATTGTCCTCACAGATTTAGGTATAAGGATCTCTATACTGCAACAAAGGGGTTTAAACAGAGCGAGGTGATAGGTCTAGGCGGATTCGGTGCAGTCTACAGAGGTGTTTTGCCTGGTACAGGAGGTGAAGTTGCTGTTAAAAGGATAGCTAGGAATTCAGTTCAAGGAATGAGAGAATTTGCAGCAGAGATCTAAAGCTTAGGAAGATTAAGGCACAAGCACTTGGTTAATCTCCTAGGATGGTGCAAGCAAAAGAATGATCTCGTTCTAGTCTATGACTACATCCCTAACGGAAGCCTCGACACTCTGCTGTTCAACCTAAAAGACAACTTTATATTGAGCTGGGCACAACGGTTCCATATCATCAAAGGCATTGGAGCAGGGCTATTGTATTTGCATGAAGAATGGGAGCAAGTAGTCATCCACCGGGATGTGAAATCCAGCAATGTGTTAATAGATGCTGAAATGAATGCCCGGCTTGGGGACTTTGGTCTTGCCAGATTATATGATCATGGAACAGCATCGCATACCATCAATGTATGCACCGTTGGATATATTGCACCTGAATTGGCTCGCACAGGGAAGGCCTCCACCAGAACAGACATGTTTGCATTTGGAGTTTTACTTCTTGAAATAGCTAGCAGAAGAAGGCCAACTGGTTCAGGTAACTTCTTGGTGGATTGGGTGATAGAATGCCAGCAAATAAGTCGACTTCTTGATGCGGCAGATCCTAAGTTGAATTCTAATTATGCGGTTGAGGAGATGGAGTTGGTTTTGGAATTGGGACTTGTTTGCTCTCATCAAAGACCAGATTCTAGGCCAACCATGAGACGAGTGATGCAGTATCTCAACGGCGATGAACCGCTTCCTTTTATTGATGATTGGGGCTCGATTGATTCTCAAGGCATTTTTGAGATCAATTCAAGAGTCTTAGAAGGGATTTCTAAGGATACAATAATGACATCATATCATTCATTATCCATTGGTGGAATATCCTCGAGCTCTATATCCACCGGCAGATGATCTCCAAAACTGAACGGGAACCTCTAGCTCTATATCTTCATTGGTTCCCTTAGCTTGTAATTTTCCACTTTTCCAGTTTGTACTTTGTATACATTTTTTATATGATTATTTCTGATGAGCTAAACCGTTTTCCTTGATTTGGGTTTTGATCAATCCACCCCCATCATTTTATAGACCAAAACATGCTATTTACTTTTAAGCAAAATTTCATTTCAGGAAACAATTCAAAATCCAATTTGTCAAAGAATGAAAATGAAGTTCCAACTACTCAAAATTTACCGAAAGATAAAAGCAAGTTCATAAGATCTGGTTCAGCTTAAACATGTAATTACCTCTATCACAAACTATAGTTCAAAGAAGACACGTCCCTAAGCGAACCTCAATAAGTTGACTTGATTCTTATCAAACTTATTAATTTTATATTCTAAGCACCCCTCTTTCTAAAGAACTTTTCAAGATTTTGTACATTATCATGTCCCTTTAGAACTGTAGCACCCCAACCTAAAACTTCAGCTAAGATATCTAATTAAAATTTATATCTGAATCATGTTCCATCGGTGGCAACCCAAGTTGCAGACTGCCCATTATAGAATCACAAGAAAATCCAGCAAGTTGAATGAGAAATTAAAAGCATAAAAAAATTGCATGGGGAGAAAATTGACTCAACAAACCACTGAATAGTGGATGCATTTGATAAACTGTCACAAAGCTTTTTGACCACCGTCATATAAAGGCCTCAAACAATGCCAGCACTTTGTTCTCTACCCAATTACATGTGGATTAAGAAAATCCTGATAATTCAAAACCCAAATCTGCAACAATAAATGCACAGATAGATGTAGTAACCCCGCTTTGGTTCCCTAACGACTTAAAAACATTTACCAAAAGAAGAAGAAAAACAGATTTATAGCAAGAAAAATAGACAGACCAAAATAACAACTTTACTCGAAGAACTAACTTCAGCTCATAAAACCATGACACGTCCAATCAAGCCCTGGGTCCAACCTGCAGTCTCCTTAAGCTGCTCATCATCAGATTGGAGACATTCACCAAGAAAATCATCATAGAATGCACAGTCTTTAAACAAAAGCTTTATATTGGAGCCAAGAGCATCCGCAAGATCACCCATAACAGCAACTGCAGCTTTTGTTACACTTTCATCCCTGCAATATATGGGAAAAGAAGTATTTAGATGGACAAAACCAAAGGCATTAGCAGCATCACTGTACCAAAGGGGAAGAAAAGAAGAAAATAAAACTACCTTTGTCTGTCTCTAGAGACTAATTCTATAAACTTTAAGAGATGTTGAGCATATGGCACCATTACATCAGGCTTCACACCCTTAAAACCTTGAAGGATACCAGAATAAGCTTCAAAAATACTACGTCTGAGCTGGTTGCCATAATCCATCATCTCCTCATCAGCAGTTTCCATCTGAGCACAGATTTCAGCTGCTCCTTGCATCATGGGTAAAGCATAGGGGACATACTTCTCAAAGTGCTCTCCTATTGCAAGAGCAATATCCCCAAAGCAAGAGAATATGGGAGGCTTTACGGAGCGGTGGAGTTCTGAACTAGCAAGATCCTTCAGAAGAAGGCCCATGATGCCATCACAATAGGGTAAGATCTTGTCATCCAAGGCACGGCAAATATCACCAACAACCCCAACTGTGATCCCACAAACCTGGTATTCCTCAAAATTCTGCAGCCCCATCTCAAGATACTTATAGAACTCAGGCATATACTTCTCAAACTGAGGTCCAGTGGCATAAGCAAGTGCACCAATTGCAAGCATTGCTTCCTCATGCACAGTAGAGCTGCGGCAACCAAACACCTTAAGGAATAGAATCATGATCTGATCAGAAGCCTGAAGTATGATGGGTTTAGTTTCATCTGTACTGCTAAGTTTTTGGATTATAACCTGCAAAACACCACAAAGAGAGGCTTGCAAGTCCCCTTGCTTTTCCCTATCATCTGATGATACAATCTGAATTTCCACAGTCTGGCCCAACTTATTCATAATGACTGGTAATAGCTGTGCTATGATGGAAGATGTTTCTGCAATGTTGGAACATCTCACAACTTCATTCAAGGTTTCACACGCAGAAGACCTGAGCTTAGAGTCACCACCATCTGTACGATCAGCAGTCGCAATTAGACAACTAATTATGTCTGTGAGAAAGGGTGAAAGAAGAGATGAGCTTGGTCCTGCATCCTCATAGCCCTGGACAAGGTAATAGATTGCACCACAAACTTTCTCCGCTACATTGGGAGCATCCTTAATGTTCTCCAACAACGCAGCCACAACTCGTTTAAGATTCTCAGGAAAAATGACAGAAAACCCACTAGCTGGACTGTGCAGGAACTCAAAAATACGACTAAGAGTCCAAGCAGTTGTGTCCTTCACATGGTTGTTTCCATCCTTCATAGCAGCAAGCAGAAAATCCAAACCTACCTGTACCAGAGGGGAGAGCTTCTCAACGGTTGGACCTTCAAGAATAGAGCCAAATGCATAAGTGGCAGCCTCTCTACAACGCCAATCTGGCTTCAAAATGTTAGATTCCACAAATGGCATTACAAGAGGCACTATAGCATCCCCAACGGTTCTGGCAACAAGACCCAGACATGTCCCACCAGCCATAGATATGTTCCAGATTGTATCATCCTGGTCTTGATCCTCTTCCTGCTTCAGCAAAGTTTGCAACAACAAAGGAACAAGAGACGAGAGAGCCTTCTCTATGAAACGAGAATGGGGAGGTCCAGAGTCCCCACTTTCAGGACTCTCAAACTCCTGAAGTTCAATCTCTTCATCACAAATAGAGCTCCAGAACTCAATTGCTTGGAGAGCAACAGTCTCTTCATCACCTTTTACAGCATTTGATGTAAGCTGAAATAGGGTTTCCATGTAAGGCTCAAGCACCTCATAGTATGCTGATGCTATCGCAACAAGACACTCAAAAGCAGCCTGCCTGATGTCCACCTCTTTGGACATGGCAGTGTCACATACAACTTTCATGATGTAATTCCGCTCTATCTCATTCTCAAAGTTGGTCTGTGCAAATTCTAAAGCATTATATAGAGCCTTGGTTGCAGCAAGCCGAACTTCAGCACCATGTTCAGCTAGGTTCATTCCTTGAACTACAGCAGTGAGAACAGCATTGACTTCATCTTGAACAAGATCCTGATGAGATATCTCCTCACAAACATATCCAAGAGTTTCCAAGGTAGCCTGTTTCAAGGCTGCAGGGCTATCTTGCTGTGTCATATTTTTAAGCAATGATCCAATCAGTTCCGGCCACTGCTTCTGGGGAATCTCAATTGAAGCAATTTTCGCTATAACTTGAGCAGAAGTGTGCCTCGCCTCAGGAACAGATGAGACAAGAGTCCTCAAGAGCAATTCTTTGATTTGAGACTTAACAGAAATGTCAATTGCCATCCATTGTTGAACAAGTTGTTCCTTCCTAATAGCATCTTTAGCATCTAACGAATTTTTAAGCACAATACCAGCCAATCTACGGGATTCAACAGGTTTATCATTATTAGCAAGCTCAACTGACAATGAAAGAAGGAAAACAGGCAGGTTCTGTTCTTGGAACTGCCTCAGATTAGCCTCTGCCTCTGTCCGGACTTTTGTATCCGCTGATTGAGCAGCCAGCAGAAACTGAGTGATCTCCATTGCCATTTTAACTACACTACAACTGAGAACATAAAACACTGATCAGAAATGATGCTTATGATACAAATCCATTCATAAAGATTGTAGCATGTTATAATAGAACAAGGGCAAAAACTAATAATAAGTAATAATAACAGTGAAAGGAGATACTGCAGAATGAATTTATCAAAACCACACAAGTCATCCAACAAACACTCACAAACATTTACTGAGTTGACATAGAGTCAAACACCAATGCTACTGATTCGCTAAAATCAACATTGACAGCTAAGCTGAACTACTGAAACCATGTTGCCCACATGAATAAAATCATTATGCGGATAATATTCAAATTTCAAGTACATGCAGTGACTTATGTATCCAAAGGTAATTTACCTCACCACTGCCCCGTTATAGTTGTATTGTAATATTATTGGCTTTCCAAGTTCAAGCAAATGAAGGGAGTTAAAGCTAATATTCTTTTTTTTTTCAGGGGTCTCAGATATATATCCCCAAAGTTACTCAATCCGGTCACAAAAAACAAACAGTTTTAATCTAAGAAAAACTTAGAACATATGCAAAACGAATAATCTTAATCCTTTTCAAATAGCAGAAACAGAGGGAAACTAAACGAAACAACCAAACAGGAATAACAAACTAAAAGATCAACATATAATAGACGATAAACTAACAAAAAAGAATAAGTAAAACGAGATCCATAGATTCAGAAATGGGGAAAAAAACGAAACTCTAATTTTTAAAGCTGGAATGTAAAACCCTAAGAAAAACCCACTAAAGTACAAGCACAAAAACCTTAGATCTGAAACTAAAACAAAAAATGAAAAGTCAAAGGAAAACTTCAAGCGAAGAGTGATACCTCAAATTAGTCTCCGATGAACCAGAGAGATTTACAATTAAAAAAATAAAATAAAATTCAGGTAAGCGCAAAACTTAGGGTTTCTCTCTCTCCCTGGTTTTTTTTTTTTTTTTCCTGTTTTGCCTAAGCTTTGAAGAAATGAGTAGGAAAAGGGAAAAGAGAGAGAATCACTGAACAGCGATTAGAGTTAAGGAGCTGTGGATTGGGGAGATTTTTGAGATAATTTTAATATATATGTAAATCAATTTCGAATGATGGGAAGGAAGCGGGAGGGAGGGAGCGAGGGACTCAGGACTCAAATGTTAAAAAACAAACCGAACCAACGGGCAGCGGGGCTTTGAGTATGCCCGGGATCACTCACCTCCAAAACCCTAGATTGTTTAAATCTACCACGTGTGATGCTCCCCCCTCTTGCGGGTTAAACTATATGGGGAATGCAATGAGGCCCATGAGCTTGGAAAGGCTGTAGCCCGTTTCGGATGGACTTTGAAGTCCACTAATTTTCAAATTATCCAGAATTTCTTGTAGAAACATAAACCATGAACAAATTTTTGTTTTAATTTCTTTTTTTTTTGGCCAATTATTTTTCTACTAATTTCACTTTAATTAGAATCATCATAGTTTGGAAGAAAAGTCAAATATTTTTTTTACCCTTTTATCTTTCTATGGGTTGAATCAATACTTAAAAGTACATCTAATCATAAGAAATGAGGTCCATGTCTATGGAGTTATATAATGGACAATGGAGGCAGGAGTCCCAATTAAATTAATTAATGCTGTTGAGTTTTTTTTTTTTTTTTCTTGAAATAAATTGCTGTTGAGATTTAATTTCATTGTTTTAATCAAATAGATGTTTGGTTTTGGCCCTTTTTTTTTTGTATTTCCTGAGGATCTGCATACTCACTAAGCATCTTTGCCTACCAAAAGATTGATACTGGACAAATATAATATAGTATCATATAATAGGATGTCTCCATGATTCTTCTATTACTAGAAGAATAAAACGTTTATTATAATATGCTTTATAAATTATATTAACTATTATATGAACCAGAACCAGAGAATTAACTCTAGCAGAACAACCAAAAACTCAGAGAGACAAAGAAGATCGTTTCATTCTACAAGATTTTTTTTTTTTTCATGCACTATATGTCTATACATAGCAAAAGCAAACCTCTTTTATTTACATCTCCATTCTCCAGAAGGCGCAACAATTGATGAAAACAATTTCTTCGGCTTTGTATCAGGTTTTGGTTGCACAATATTGGTAGACCTTTCCTTGATTGGACCCTTTACACCAAAGAGCTTGTGCTTCATGCGCCAAGGCAACAACATTTCAAGGCCACAACGCTTTGGGGAAGAGAATGATGATCGCTTTATTACTGCTTGGGAAACACATGGTGACTGATCTGAATAATTGCAGAGATAAGGAAGCTTTGTTTTTGACATGTTTAGAGCAGATGATGCGGCCAATGCTGTGGCGTCTGGAAGAAAGCGCTCGATTATGAAATTTGGAGATGGACAGTCACTGTGCTCTAAACTCATCTCTAAGTTCCACCCATCTAAGTCACTAGGCTCTACACTCTTTGATTTTAACCCATCTGATGATCCATGAAACTTTTCTGCTTTCTCAACAATGTCTATTGCTTCTGTCAGTGACAAAACTTCCATGGCATCCGAGAATACATCATCTGTGTCATCATTGTCGTAGTCATCCACATCAGCATCACAGCCTTCATCATGGTCATGATAGTGATCTTTAAGGGTCCGATCACGATCCCCATTAGTTGCTTCTTTTGGTGGACGCCATCTGCCTGGTGGGGGTTTTGGACGAGTCGTTTCTGCTTCATCTATGTTGTTACTTCTCGTCAAGTTCTTGGGCTGGCCGGGAGCCTGTTCCCAGCAGAATGGAATCCCATTACTTGCATCTTTCCATCCCACCAGAGAATTCGTACAAGACACTTTATCACTAATGTGACCACCAGCTGTTCGCCTTGTTGACAAGAGTGGTGCATTGAAGTTCAGTTTTCTTGGGCGTTTCTTTTCCATTGCTTCATTCATTCCTTCTCCCACATAGAGAAATATCTTTCTGTAAGTGAAGGATTCATTGGAGTAGGTGGGGAAAAGGGGAATGGGTGACTTGAGATGGATATGAATGAAGAGATGATAAAGGAGTGGTTGTATGAAATAATTGTAAAGCAGCTGAAACTATGGGGATCTCGTGCAGTGTATTAAAACCGATATTTTCACTTTATAATGCACAAAAGTTGGGTGGAAAAGGTCCTTCTATGGTGAATTAAGAAAGTGATGCATGAGGTTAACATTTGCTGGAAGACTGGAATCATCCAGAAACCATGTGGCAGAAGTGGTGCACCACACCTAATTTTGCCCAGTTCCCTGCTGCCAACTTTCGAGTTTCGACACATGGAAATCGAATTACCATGAAAAAAAATGATTTTGTACGATTAGATTTCTTTTTGCTATTGTTGGCGCTACTTAACATGATAAAACAATAAGGATGGCAGCCGCAGCACCAGTCTCCCCATGTCTAATTGCCTGCAGACTGAAGCCTGAAGCAGAACGTTAAACGAACTTGTTGGGAACTTGAGAATAGATAACATCTGAGAAGTGAAAAACCAAACGCCTATAGCGTGTAGCTTTGAAAAGAGTATGATCCCCATTGAAGTTAGTAGTACGTTGGTTTAATTGTTCCTTGATTCTTTATATGAGTGGAAAATAAAAGAAAGAAAATTTGTCAAATATAATAAGTCTGTAACAAAGGAGAAAACAAATAAGCATGGTCGAGGCAGCATTGGGTCTCTGACCAAGTCTTGAAAACGAGTAGAAGAATGCCTGCTCTTTAAGTATAGCTTTAAACTGTTTGAAAAGAAACCCTGTCTTAAGGAAAATTTTCAAGCTCCAACAACAATAGAACATTCAGGATGAGAAGAGTTAAGAGTACATAACATATAGCAAAAAAGGCAACAGAGAGCAAAATCTCTAGCCTGGATAAAGTTCTGCAATTTCATTTAAATGATTCTTTTGACTGTAGCACTGGCACCGCCCTCTGCCAGAGTAATATATAGGTCAGTAGCAGCATCAGTGGCTTCCCTGGACGATTTATATCATTGATTGGTCCAATTCTTACAGTTTAACACAAAACAAATATTTACAAGCTATCTTGTCTAGTTTCCCTTTTCACCTTTTCTATCAAACCAAACACTGGTCTTTTTCTTTCCTCCTAAGTTACATTTCTGCACGGTGGTGCTTCTGAATTTCCTGGAGACAACATCCAAAACCAATGGTGCCCTTCCTTGTAATTGAACAAAAACATTTGAAACAAAAAAGGGTGGCAAAAATCAGGTTGCCCGCAGTAGACATGAAGAGAGGAAATGACTATGGGGATCTGACTTTCTCACTTCTGCTCTTTAACCTGCTCACGAACTTTATTATATAGCTCAAGAGTATCAGTATGGTTGGGATCAAGACATAGGGCTGCTTCACAATCTCTAACAGCGGATATATAATCACCCATTGAATCATGGAAAGCAGCTCGAAGATGTAGTAGCTGGAGGTCTGGCTTGAAAGTTAATGCTTTTGTGAGCTCTGCTATAGCTTCATTTTCTTTGTGATCATCCATTAGAACTGGAAAGGCAGAAACTTCATGTTAGAGGCTCAAAAAAGCTAGCCCCTCTTGCAAATATGGCCTCAGTGTTCAGGACCAAATTCATAATCACAGAATTAACAATAGAGAACAAATAACAAGCAATTATCACAGAGTAAACCTAAATTTCATGCGGATTAAATATAGCAGAAAACAAGGAATCAACTTCTTAATTTTAATCAATAATTTCTTTCTCTTGTCTTTCCTTTCTGATAGATGACATTTGAAAATTTTATAGGAAAGATGATTATTAATAACATTTATATTAATATAATTTAACAGAAGTCCTGATCATCAAAGCAACTCATGTCAAGATGGGTGTCCTTTTGCCAAATGGCCAAGCAAGACAATGTACAAAGGAAGTTCATTTATTCCTTAAATCTGAGAATTGGGAACCCTATGCTTTTGCACTAAGAAGAAATCCAAGAAAGTAAACTGTTTCCACATGGAAACAAATTTTACTCTAACACGTTAAAGATCAAGGCTTCCATATGACCAAAGATATTGGAATGCAACAAAGAGCTGAGCAGATGGAAAATGAGGAGCTTAAAAGAAGGTAAACAAGTCTAAAACCACAGGAAAATTAATTTACTCAACCTACACATTCATCTAGAATTAACTATTTGTCTATTGAGTTGGGGGGGGGGGGGGGTACCATTTCAGTTAATAGCAATCTAAAGGCGTAAAAGTCACAGTGCATTGCAATTCTAAAATGGCTAATCATTAGCCAGGTTGCAAAAAGCAATTTCCACAAACAAAATTATTGGGAAAAAGGAACTGTAACCCTGGTCATGGAATTTACCTGCAGCCCTGTATCTGTATGGATATGTCCTCAAGGGATCTAATTGTGTTGCCATTGCAAGATCACTCTTTGCCATTTCACGGTCACAATATTCTGAACGCTTTTCATAAGCTGAAGCATTGTTGCGTGCCCTCTCTATCAGCATTGTCATCTCATTATATGCAGCTTTAGGCTGATTTTTTAGATGAAATACCCGTGCTAGACCCTGATGTGCTCGTGTGTGCTTGATGTTGTGTGCATTCATGTAGCAATCAGCAGCAAGATCTAGCTTTTCACAGTCTACATACACACTACCTAAATTATTCAATGCCTGCAGAATTGCAGAATCATTCAGAACTCTAAACCTATTCATTGCACTTAAATAGCTAGAGTTAAAATTGCTCCAAATATACTTACTTGTCCTTTCCGAAGGCCATCTGAAGGGGCATCTAAGAGCTTCCTCGAGAAGTTTGATAACAGATACTGAGGACTCTTAATCAAGACTGGAATCAGCTAAAGCATATGCCTTAAGGAAGAAAGCTTCAAATGATCTCTGGATGGAGATTGACTCCTCTGCCTTAGTTAGTGCTTCCTCACGGTGGCCAGTGTCATACAATATCCATCCTTCATAGACGAGCCTTTCATGTTCTGAAGTAGAATGGTTTCTAGCCAACCTTAGACTACGCATTGCAGCCTTTTGACAATTTAACCTATAGCATTCAGTAGAACAGATAGAATATTAAGGTGAACAGAATATTGATACAGGACAGTTAACTCATAAGTCATAACTAAGAAAGACTTGTTAACCTCAAAAATTAACTGTAGTAATACTAGGAAGCAAATGTGGAATGAATTTCCACCATTTACCATAGAATATTTCGTGTTAAAGAGCCATCAGAAGAAGAAGGTAACATAGGTTGTTTTACTTTACATCTTGCAACGCCAGTACCTCAACTGCACATTATGATGAATAAAATTTCCATAATATACCAAATGATACCACTGTGATGGCATGCATGCTGCATTGTCTCATCTCTCAACAGTAAACTTATTAGAATATCATGTAGATTTTATTTTATTTAACTTGTCTGTAGTTAACATAGAATCCATCATGCCTTTAAATGGGCAGATACCTACATCTGAAAATAAGCAGAAGAAAACATCACTTGGCTTATCATAAATTCATAATGTTAATCTTAGATCTAAGTTCAAAAGGAAAATGAACAGTCATTTATACAGGGGCATAAAGTAGTTGATCTTCACTACAAAGCATTAATGCGAATTCCTTGGTAGAGCTAAAAACAAATTTTACTAAATTAGGAAGAACCTATACAGAAAATTCCATTCAACAGAAACAGTGAAAGGACATTTTATTCAACCAGTGAAAGAGTTTGTCATATTACCTTAAGAGGAGGAGAGACTGCCTAAACCATAGGAGACTCCTTCCAGGGTCATTTGCCAACATATGGTGTACAACAGCTAGGGAACCAATATCATCGACTGAAGACCACCGGTCATACAATTGCATCCAGCAATCAACCTGACTCCACTGCCGAACAAGAGGACGCAGGAGCTCCACCAAGTGGTCACCATGCATTTTTCCATGAAACATCATGTAATTTGGTTCTAAAGTCAAAAGTGCCCGGACATCTCTAAGAGCTCCTTCTCAATCCTCCATGGTAATCGAAATCCAGGCACGTAACTCCAGGAAGTCGGGGAATACCTTGAAACTGATTATTTTATTAATTTCTGAGATGGCCGCTCCAATCTTATTTTCCTCCAACAATGAAACAGCTCGGTACTTGTATGGAAAAGAAAGGGTTGGATCCAATTCTGTAGCCATTTCCAAATCCAGCATCTTCTCCTTCCCAACACAATACAGAGAACGTTCCTGATGCATCCACCCAACTGGCTTATAATCCGAAATGAGTGAGTTAATCATCTTGTATGCTGAATATTTTTGGTCACGCTTGAACCTGGCCCTTGCAACACCCACTTTTGAATATATATGACCAGACTCGAAAGCTGCCTCAAACCAACTTTGAGCATCTTTGTACTCTTTTCTCTCAAGCATCACAACACCTAACTGGTGATATGCAAGTTGTTTCTGCAACTTTCTGTTGCACACTCTGTCAACCTCTCTAGAAGCATCACATCAGTGTTGGATTTCATATCTTCCTCCATTGCAATCTGGCTCAAGAAGTAATAAAATAAAAAGGAAGCATGCCCCACTACAGCCAATCTTTCCCTTGCATCCGAACTACAAAAAAATTTCATCACATTAGGACTGTGCATTGAATTTAGGAGCTCCCTTAAAAATACCTGCAAGCAAGCTGCCACTAGAAGATATGCATTTTCCTCCAATCCATGCTCAATTAACAACAGTGCATCCTCCATGTCATTTACCAAAGATGCTAAATAAGCATCACAAGCAGACTTCAAATTGTCGCAACAAAAACTATTTGAGAAAGAAATAAGCTCCAAAATAATTCGTGGATCAAAAGAATCTAATCTTTTTGTCCTGCTATATAACTCAGCAGCTCTCATACCTTCTACTGAAATACCATTCTGCGTAAAATTTATCCTCTCTCTTCTGACTCCGGATACCATTGGAATTTTTAGGACCTC